GTGAATGCATAGAGATTATAAATAACACTAGAGGAGGCATCGAGTTTAAAAATTGGGAACGCAGCTAATGGGGGGCAAATTCAAGTCCCGGATATAAAATCGTGCTATCATTGGCTGATTTGAAACTCGTCACCAATGGGAACACGAATACACATCCGGGACTTGAATTTACCCCCCAATAGTCGCGTTCCTTTTTTTTACTGAATTAAGATTACAATGCCTCCTCTAGTGTTATTTATAATCTCTATGGGTGAATGCCTCTCATAAGCGCACTGGCTTGGACCATGGCGTCAGCATTTTGATGACCAATTACGGTTACGCCAAAATCATAGGAAAACCAAGAAGTCGATCTTCCTGTTTGTTTCTATTCTGTGAGGATGTTACCGAACTTACCCAGGGCGCCAGTGACGCTGCCTTCAGATAAACTCCCTATCTTTTCTTGAAGCCAAATCTGACTCAAGACCCGCGTGTTTATGCCTCGTGATTCGCGAGACCAGTTCCGGGAGCAAGCACGCCGTTTTAATAAAAAAAAATAAAATTAAAGTCTACTAGGAAGTTTTACCTGAATAAATGCATTAATAGAAAGGTTTCAACGCTGTTAAAAAGTTTTTTATATAAATTTTAAGCCGGTTTTCAAGAAGTTGTAGCAAGCTTGTGAACAAGTTGTATGTTGCGAACACATCTTGTTGAAAAGATCGATCAGTTGAGATTTTTACGATATGCGAGGAAAGTTCTCCAAAACGAAGCAATTTTATTGTTCCGAACACGACGACAATTTAGAAAATAGAGAAATGGAGCAAAACGTTCACCTCTATATCCATTTAATTAAGGTAATACAAGAGGTTTACTGTGATGTAACCTGGCCATTTTAGTGACGCACTTAAAGTTTAAGAACTATTTGAAGTTAAAGAGTCATGATCAACCACAATGCAATGTGTGTGTTTGTTTACGTTTCTGTCACGTTGTGGGCCAGAGGCAGCCATTTTTGTGGCCTCGAAAATGGCGGGAACTATTGAGGAGAGTAACTGAAAAACGTAAACAAAAGCGCACATTGCATTGTGGTTGATCATGACCCTTTAACTTGATGGTGTTGTATATTATACATATTTGTGTTGGTTTCTTACGTACTCCGTAATGTGATCATAATTCCACTCGTCATACCATCGACAACTACCAAATTCATACTGATCGCATGATACTCTTGGTTGATTTGCTTCTCGGTTGGGAAGAGATGGTTCTGGCATTCGTTTTCCAAGACTGGGGAAATTCTGATAATAATACCTAAAAAATAGCAAATGTTTTACATATATGAACAAAAATAACCTGCATGTCTAAAAATAAGGAGACGGGTTGCCAGGAGCAGGTTGACAATAGGCTTCCGAACTTTTAAGAAGAATCTGGTACATGAGAAACCTCATCCAGCAAACCCCTAGGGATTCCACAATCACCTGAAGAGTATTTCCTTTGGTCAGGGTGAATCGTTGGTCCTTTGACACCTTAAACGCGTTCAACAACCACGTTAGCCCAAGGAAACACGAAAAAGCCGACAAATATTAGGTATCAGTTCTTTTCCCCTTCTTTGGATGCGGGTATAGATAAAAGTGAAGCCCGATACTCGGGTTAGTGACAAATTTGCTTCAATGGCATGCCATGTGTCAAATAATAAAAGCGACTGCCTGGAATAAGTCCTGAGTCATTACCACAGGAATCTTTATGGTCAAAAAAGCACTGCTTGCAAGCGATGCACATAAATATGAATCATGACTTGAATAGGGATGATATATAGCAGCTAGACGATCGAGGGTTCAAACTTTGGGTCGTGAATACAATTTACATAACGATATCCTAAAATTATTAAATATATTTATCAGTTAATCCAGAGTAGCGAGTGAAATCGTGTCTTATATCACAGCGCTTCATAGCTCTTACCATCTTTGTAAAATATATTTATGTCCTTGAATAACTTGAGCAGCGTTATGAATCGAGCTTGGATCACACTGTCCATCTTCAGTCATACTGTTCCAGACTAACGCCAGACCTTTCTTAGGAGTAACACTCAAACCTAGCTCTGGAAATACTGTTTCACCACCTTCAGCTACGTCTTTTAAATACACCAATATCGTCGCATAACGATCGCGCTTCTCTTCTTGGTCAAGGACACAGTCTGTATGATTTTTGTAGCCTAAATTAAATACACTGTACTTTTACATAAATGTTTAACGTTCACATCTTGTTAGCAAGTTGTAACAAGCTGGTCATTTTATTAAGCTGTGGCAAGTTTGAGCTGCAATCTTGTTGCAACTTGTTAGCTTGTTGAAACTTGTTAGATTTGATACTCAGGCTAGCTTGTTATCTTCGGCTGTGTCACAACAACCTTTTTATTAGTCTGTCAACCAGTTGCAAGACGTCTGTCACAACAGCTGGGTACAAGTTGTGAGAACACGTCCTGATGACAAGTTGTTGATGCAATTTTGTACAAGTCTGCTGCAGGTTTGTTACCGCAAGTTGTGCGTTTTTGAGTGTATATCAAGTCTCACTTCTGTGACATTAGGCATCTTCATATCCAACACAACACAACACAACACAACACACTCACTCTAACGACATTCCACTTCACCACGCGCAACACATTGTTTTACTGCACCCTGCTTATGACCGTGATATGTTTTGTGCACGTACAGTAAATTGTAAAAACGCACGACTTGTAACAAACCTGCAGCAAATTTGTACTGCACTAATGCTGATTCAACAGCTTGTTATCAGGATGTGTTCGCAATGCTTGTCCCCAGGTGTTGACACGTTGCCTTCGCATTGTTGCATGGGTTGTTGACTCAAAAAACTAGTTACAAGTTGTTTCAACAACTTGTTATCGTCCTGCAATTCGACAGTTGTGAGTCACAATCTTGTAACAACTTGAAACTAACAAGTTGCTATAGTTTCAAGTGACAACACTACAGCTTGTTGACAAGCTTCAATCTTGGACATAACTGGTTGAGACTACCTTTCCCTCTATACAAAATCTGCATACCTCTTATAATAAATTCCATGTTGAATCATGTTGTTAAAAGGGCAGTGTCACGGCGCTGATTGGCTAAAATAAACGGGGCAAAGAAACGTTTAAAATTAATGCTACATGATTGGAAAAAATGCAGCAGCCTTCAATTTTTAAAACAAAGCAAGGATGTCCTGCATAACAAAGGGATTATAAATAGCATATCGTATTTCACTCCTAACTTGATTGTTGGCAGACAGTTTTTCAAGTTCGCGCATATTTTGGATGCGCAGTAGAACCGTGACACTGCCCCTTTAAGCCCCCGCTCCCCCGACTCAATGTTGAACTTATGTCATGGTAAATTACCAAAAGTTGTTCCGGCGTTGTTTACAACATTGAACTGGGGGAGAGGGGGTTATGAAGTTTGTTCTGTCAATGTGCATTAATTAACAGTTACATCTTGTTGTCAAGTTTGCTTGTAATCTGCTGCGAATAGCATCTTGTTGACAAGATGTGAAATATATACGCGTGTAGTGTATGAGTAGAGACATGGATTTTACGACGATCGAAGAAAAACAGCAGCTGTAGGATAAAACAGAAAAACGAAATCAATGCTGTGGTGGATGCTTGGTCTGTTCTGGAAAGACAGACGAAGATTTAATGATGATATATAAGTGCGGAAATCAGAGAAGACAAGAGACCGATCGAGAATGCAATGATTCGGGGTCGTTATTAGAGAAGGGAAGGAAGATCTAGTCATGTTAGTATACGGATACATGCAATAGAAATACCACAAACATGTGGTAAAAGATGTGGGGGGCATTAAAAAGGATGCCTAAGACAGAATTTATTGGTGTCTAGAGGGTTGGCCCAAGAAAGAGTGATAAAAGATCACAATTATCTGAACAGGTCTATCATTAAATACAGTACATACCAACATTTCGTGGATATGATGTAATTTGAAATTTCCCTCCATTCTCTGGAGCCAAACCAGTCGCTTGTTTTATTCTCTCTTGCAGTGTGAGAGAAAACTTACTTTCACCAGGATAAAATGAAGTACTGTAGCTCCACTTCAAGCCATGTTTCCTCACAAGCAGTGATAGACTTTCATTTATACACGTTGTCCCTTCCAGAAAATCGGCACTGCTAACCTGAATCTTCAGACCAACTTCCTTTAAATTCTGTCTGAATGTTTTCACAGAGTCAAAGCACAGTAATGGATTACGTTTCGAGGTTTGCGTTACATGGCTGTCATGTGCGCCTGCCAATGCATCACATTCATAAGCACTAAGAAATTTTTCTAAAACATAAGCACGGACCGAACTATCTTTGTGACTATGATGTAACGGTTTAACTTTGACCGTCGTTCCAGCAACATTGGTTGACTTTACTTGTAATTTGTTCAGAATGTGAGGCCTGAAGTTTTTATAAACCTCTGAGTCAGGAAATCCGCGACTAGTTTCTGTCTCTGCTGAAAAGGTAAATCATAATATTTAGGTACAGCACTAATCACTGTTCATTATTTAAGTATACCTCAGTTAGTACCAGAGTGAATCTGAAAATAGTATATAACATCTACATTTCCGCATCCTCAAGGTTCAAGATGACTGCACCAGTACTGCAGTTGCACCCTGTATGTACATGTACCTATATATATGTCGAATATTGCTACATTGTCCCACTTAGTAAATCCCCTTATTTCCGTCTTGTTTGTGTTACAAGACATATACAATGAATGGCTGATTGGCAAGAATTTACTTCACTGCACAAAATGCGGCCAGAATAAGTCGGAATTGTATTAGCCAATCGTTGATTTAGTAGAAAAGTCATCCAACTAATTTCTCATCCAGTGGCAGACAATTTATTCACTTTTTCTGGTGGTGGGACAAAACCTCCTGAATTTCCGACAACCCACTGGATTTCCAATAAACCGCATTTCTCCACCTCGCCAAAATTTCAATGACTGTCCTCATCAGTACCAACCCTAGGTTGCGTAGCAGCACCAAGAGAGGAGGGACTGGGTACAGACCTCACTCACTGGTACCGCAGGGAGTGTACGTACCCTCCTTGCGTGTTCAAGATCATCCATCGCTTTCTTCCAGGTAGGTATAAAAGTCCCACCGGATCAGTAGTCCGCTTCGGGTCCGGGTTAAGTTTAAATTAGGGTCAGGTCCGGGTCTGGTCCAACTAGCGATCCAATCCTACTTTAATTTATACATGTCTCTTTCTTCCGTGGATGGAAGCGGGAAAACAAATTAAACAAATAACATGCAAGTTATATGGCAAACAGTTTAGGAAATTTGAAATCACAATCATTTGTTGAATTGGGCAAAATCGTAATCCTAATGAAAATTAAACAAAATCAATTCTGAAATACGAACATCACCAGTTTCCATCACACCCTAACGTACGTATTGTCCGAGATTTAACCATATCATGATATCTCTTGAAATTCCCGTGACCTTTATTATTATTGCAACGTTTTTTTTGCCATGAAATTCGTATTTACGACAGTTTGTAAGAAATAATCAATCAATCAATCAATATAGCTTGGTATCATAATGTGAGATTCTTCTCTTTCAACAGCCTGGCATATTGGCATAATGTGCTTTTGGCATGTTTTCTATACTCTCATAACTGACACAGGGGTCTATGCAACAGAACTACCAATCCAAGTGACAAGTGGTAAAGACTGTTGATGTATGTTCCTAGAACATTTTCTTCTTACACCCCCCCCCCTCCCCAGGGCTGTTGCAAGCAGTCCTCATTTGGGGGGGGATCTACCTGATATATGCTTTGTTAATAATTTTACCAGGGGTGCATTGGGGTGGTTCAATATAAAAAGTTTTCCAGACATATATAATCATATATAAAAGTCGCGATGGTCAATTTGTACCACTATTATTCTATTATCCCCCCCCAGTCGATATGGCCCTGCTCCCCCCCCCCAACACTTTTTCTAGGCATTTGAAAAAAATAGAAAGGTCCCCAGCTCAAAAGGTGCCCCTAAAGTGATGAAGTGGCTTAAATTTCTTGATACATCACTCTAGATTACTGAAACTGGGAATATAAATCTTAGCTGCATCATTGCTGGATAATATTGCAATAAAATGTATATTAATAATTATAGTATATTGGACAACACTGCTTCTCCTGTTTTATTGTGATCACATCATAGGGGCCGCCCCTGACAAAATTATATGGGACCGCCTGGGAAAGATTTTCCCCATTCAACCTCTCAGCTGCTCATATGCCCCCAGCCTCTATGGTCTCACACTAGGACAACTTGGGCCACTGCATATGTGCCAGAAGCATACTATATTCTTAAGGGGTTGATTACATCAAGCTTTTTCAATCTCGGGGCTGAATTCAGCCCTGTTGACAGGGCTGAAATTTTTTTCAATTATATGGACAATTTCAACCCCGGGGCTGAATTCAGCCCTGTTGACCAGGTTGAAATTTCATCCCCGCCTTATTATAAAACTCTCTTTTAATAAATCGAATGCATGATTATACAAGGCAAAATATTCAGCCCTGGGCTGAGTTTGACCCAGGGCTAAATTTTCAGCCTGGTTTGAGCTACACAAATTGAAATGAAACAATTACATGGGTGTATAATTTTGACCCAGGGCTGAAATTTCAACTCAGGTAGCTCAAACCGGGTTGAAATTTCAGCCCTGGGTTGAACTCTGCCCTGGTCTGAAACTTTTACCATGTAAACATGCATTCGATTTAACCCGAGTCACATTGCGCCCTACTTTATTATTTTACTCTGTCTAACACCAGATAATTTTACTTGTCAAGGGGAGAGCGCTGGCACTTAATAATGGGTTAAATTAAAGAGGGTTTTTCAGCCTGGTCAACAGGGCTGAATTCAGCCCCGGGGTTGAAAAAGCTCCATGTAATCAGCTCCTAAGTACTAAGTAAACTTTAATAGACTGAGTTAAAACTATATAAACGTAAATATCTTTGATACCTTTTTTGTTCCCAGATTTTACATCATCATGTTTTGAATGTTCTCTGGGGGGGTTAGTTTCATCTTTTTGTGCTACATTTTGCTGTGTGGAATTAGCGCCACTGTCAAAATTTTGATTTTTCCACAGCAAGACAACACTACATGCCATACAAAGAACAATAACACCAATACATGCGAAACGTAAATAATTGACCCCAGATTTAGATTCTTCCCGATCGGTTGCCTGTAGTCTTGATCTCGGTCTTGATTGCTTGACATTTTTCCCGGAAACTCCGTTCGTCTGAGATGCACGTTTTCGTGTTTGTTGTTTAGTCATTGTGTGATCTACTTAAATTAAATAAATTATTATTCTATTTAAATCTCTCATCGTTTCTCTTCGTAAAACTGCATTGAGGAAGCCAAGGGTCATTAAAGTGATGACGAGCTAAACGGCTCCAGCTGTGTGGCTCCAGGTGCCAAGCTCCAGGTTTGCGAATCTGGAGCCAGCTCTGTCTCACCGTAGGGTGACAAGGCTGTATTCAATGTTGCACGAAGACGTTTTTATTCAGGCACATTTTCAAGTTTGTGTGGTCGCAGGCACGCAAAAACGTTTATAACGATGGACCGTCCCCTGGCGGAAACTGTATTAAAAAAAGCACAGCCATGGCAACCCAGTTACCCAGACAGTACTCAGTAGTCTCTCAAGGAGTCAAGGGTGAAGGGTTTGAAAGACTTGAAAGTCAAACGACAAAGGCCGACACGAGGGGCATTTCACTCCAAAAAAGCGTACGGGATTTTCGGATTTTTAAAAATCCGCGGATTTTTCCCGGATTTTTTAGCGGATTTTTGAAGAGAAAATCTGTTGGATTTTCCGGATTTGTTTCGATTTTCCGGATTTGTTCGGATTTTTTCCGGATTTTTTGACGAAGCGTATGGGATTTTCGGATTTTTTTTAAATCCGCGGATTTTTTAGCGGATTTTCCCCGGATTTTTAGCGGATTTTTGAAGAGAAAATCTGTTGGATTTTCCGGATTTGTGCGGATTTTTTCCGGATTTTTTGACGAAGTGTACGGGATTTTTGGAGTGAAATGCCCCTCGGGCCGACAAACGCCGGTGTCTAGTTGGTTGACAAACGCCGGTGTCCTAGTTGATTTGGACCCCCGTAGATTTTGACCCCCAGTCCATTACGCTACAGGGCAATAAAGAGTAAATGGACTTCTTGCTTTGAAACTGCAATGCATAACCATTCTTGTGACATAAGAAAGAAAATATTTCAGCGAAAATTCTGCCCGGAAACGTGAAGGTTAAACATAAACTGCCTATTAGCGATGCGCGAGAGCGGTGAAGAAAGGCGCGAGAATATGAGAAACAATTAGGGAGAGGAGGGGCCGCGGAAGCATTTCGAAAGTGGAGGGGCATTGGCCAAAAGGGGCACTTTTGTATATGACCAAAATCGAACGATTTTATTTCGAACTTTATTTTTCGAACGATTTTATAAAACGGAACGAAAATTTTTGAAAATATGGAGTCTCTACTACAGGGGTCTTTAAACCATGGGTCGCGACCCAAAATTGGGTCGCTAGCACACCCTCGAAGGTCGCAAGGCTTGTCTTGGCTCGCATGGGTCGCAAAGCTTGTCTAGGGTCGCGAACTTACACTAGTAAACTTTACAAGACGAGAGATCAAGTGATAAGATGCACATATTTACATATGAATATTTCCTTGCGAAATTTGCGATTATAAAGGCCTGATTCCACGGGCGCTTTTTCTCGGCGAAATGCGAAATATTTCGCCTGTTTCTTTTGAATTGCGACCACTCGAATAAATTATTTCTACTTGATTGCCCACAATTCAAAAGAAACAGGCGAAATATTTCGCATTTCGCCGAGAAAAAGCGCCTGTGGAATCAGGCCTTAATGTTTTTTCACGATT